AGTGGATTTTGTCTTATTTAGCTCTTTTGTTAATCTACTGTTGCATGTAATTAGTTTATGTTTCATTGATGCATTTAGTGAAGAGAAGTTTACAGTGTAGCTTAAATAGTTTTTTTTTGTAACTAGTAGAATATAAGAGTTTAAGTTTGATATAATCCGCTGTTTGTTCTTAACATATTTAGAGAAACAAATACATGCGAATAGTTTGATTTCCGTGTTGAAAACAAAGATTGATTGTTCTAGTTCCTGTTTCCTATAGATTCGTTAATGTTTTAGGGGAAATACGACTAATATTGTTGTTAATTGTATAAAAAGTACACAACAAATTAGATTTTGATCTGATTAAATATTATTAATTTCGTTTCAATAATTGCTCTTTATTTTCTTCATTGTTTTCTTTTTGTCGTTTAAAATGGGAAATAGTGATAATGCCTCTACGGCTGCTACCAAACAGTTAGTCTGTAAGGCTTGCAATGAAAGTATTATATCTAAATCTACTTTAGCACAGACTTGTTGCGGTCATACTTTTCATAGAAATTGTTTAGGTTTGAGTTTGAAAACCCGCCCATTTTGCCCAGTTTGTAATACCAGAATAGTTAATGATCCTCCTGTTACTCCTATTGCAACTCGTTCAAAGACAATGGCATCTACTTCTGCTCAAAGCGGGGGACAACAGCCTATGGATTCTACTATACCAGATGAAAATACAGGAACTGATTCGTCTACTTTGAATTCTTCGGTTTTGGAGCAAACGATAGTGAATCAACCTACAGTTTCTGTTAATGAGTCATTTAGGGATATGATAGCTTCTATTGTTTCTGATCAACAAGCTCAGCTTTTATCTTCATTGAGCAGTCGAATTTCTAGCTTAGTTGAAACAGCCATTGAGACAAGAATATCTGGTTTAAACATTAATGTTTTACCTAATTCTCAACAAAGTTCAACAACATCACAGAGTAATCCGTTGCCAACGCAAACTAACAATCGTTCACCTCCTCAAATGCATACTTTACCGGCTGTTGAACAGCAAACTTTTAGAAATCTATTAGGTATTGGTATTGAATCTAATGCTTCTAATACTTCGTTTCAACCTCGCCCTGAAACTGGTTCTTCATCAGGTCGACCTAACCATGTAGTATCTGGAGTATCTACTCTAACTAACCTTGATCTACGTCCAGATAAGGTATTGCAAATAATATCTAATTGGAAGATAAAATTTTCTGGCGGAATAAATGGTCTTTCAGTGAGTAACTTTATATATAGAGTTGAAGCGTTAACAGCTCAAACTTTGCAAGGTGATTTCGATTTGCTTTGTAACAATGCCTGTTTATTATTTGAAGGTAAAGCTAGTGTATGGTTCTGGCGCTATCACATGAAAGTACCTTCCATAAAATGGCCAAATTTGTGTCTAGCATTGAGGAAGGAATATAGAGATTCTCGGACAGATGTCGATTATCGAGAAATGATTCATGATCGAAAACAAAGGCCCAATGAAACATTTGATAGCTTTTATGAATCAATTGTTGAACTTACTGACCACCTTAGGGAACCGATTCCAGATGACTATTTAGTTGAGATTTTACGACGTAATTTGCTGCCTGAGATACAGCACGAAATCTTAAATCTAAGCATTTCATCGGTACAGGATTTGAGAGATATTTGTAGGCGTAGAGAGTTTTTTTTCGCTGACGTTAGAAGAAGACAAGGTGTAGGTCCTTCTAAGGTTTCTGGTAATCAAAGAAGAGTTTCCGAAATTGCTCAGGAATTGGATGATGATACGGAGCGTATACCTGATCTGCCTAGTGAAGAAGTTTGTGGCATCAGTTTGATCTGTTGGAACTGTCGTAAACCAGGCCACCGTTATCAGGATTGTCTCTCTGAGAGAACAATATTTTGTTATGGTTGTGGCATTCCAGGAGCTTACAAACCTACTTGTAGTAATTGTGCTTCAAAAAAAACTCCCAAGTCAGTGCACTAAGGAGTGCACCCAGCTCGTGAAACAAACACACAGAGACAGAAATATAACTACAATACTAAACCGAAATAATCGTGAACATACTGCATCTAACAATAATTTTTTTTCCTCCACTACACTATTATTAAACCAAAATTTATCACAACCAATAATTCAGATTTGTCTTTAAAATTTAAACCTTTTCATGTTCGACTTCAAGAGTATAATCTTGTTCGTCAGAGGATTTTTGGTAAACCCCTTAAATCATCTCGTTCAGCTACCCGTATGCGCAACTTTTGGCAAAAAGTAAACAAATTTAAGAAAAAATTCGTTTGTTCTGTCTTAGATGAACCAAGTGACGTACGACCCTATGCCGAAGTTAACTTGTTTGGAAAGAATATGTTAGGTTTGTTGGATACTGGTGCATCGATCACTTGTATAGGCTCAGATGCGGCGCAGGACTTTTTAGCTTCGGGAGTAGCGTTTAAAAAGCTAAATTCGTCAGTCAAGACCGCAGATGGGAAAAGTCAGAAAGTTATTGGGTATGTAGAGACGTCCATTATCTTTAAGGGGATTGAGAAACCAATTGTTTTATTTATAATCCCTAGTTTGGAGAGAAACTTGTTCCTTGGTATAGATTTCTGGGAATTATTTCAGCTTCTTCCTTCTGGGTTAAGTCGTTCGCCTTCCACTTTGAATTTCTCTCCAGGGCTAACAGAACTTTCTCCTCACATAACTCTTACACCAACTCAACAGCAACAATTGAACCAGGCAATTTCCCTATTCCCGTCGTTTGTTAAAGAAGGTCTTGGTCGAACAAGTATTTTATGTCATTCTATAGACACCGGAAGTGCTAAACCTATCAAGCAAAGGCACTTTCCGGTTTCACCAGCCATCGAAAAATTAATTTATGAAGAGCTTGATCGTATGTTGGAGCTAGGAGTGATAGAGGAGTCAAACAGCGCGTGGTCATCTCCAGTTGTTCTCCACAGAAAACCAGGAAAGAATAGACTTTGCTTAGATAGTCGCAAATTGAATTCAGTCACGATTGGAGATGCATATCCTTTACCGCATATTGACGGTATTCTTAGTCGACTCCCCAAAGCAGAATTTATTACGGCCATAGATCTCAAAGATGCTTTTTGGCAGATTCCGCTAGATAAGGGATCTAGGGAAAAAACAGCATTCACTGTTCCTGGGAGACCATTATACCATTTTAAAGTAATGCCGTTCGGGTTATGTAATGCCCCGCAGACTATGTCACGCCTAATGGATAAGGTAATACCACCGGCTCTCAGGACAGAGGTGTTTTGTTTATCTCGACGATCTACTAATTATATCGGAATCTTTCAATAAGCATCTTGAGGTTTTAAGGATTGTTGCCAGTAGAATACGTGACTCGGGTTTGACAATTAATGTGGAAAAGAGTAGATTTTGTGTCAAAGAAGTGAAATATCTTGGTCATGTGGTGGGAAATGGTGTCATTCAGACAGATCCGGAAAAAGTGTCCGCTGTTATCGACTTTCCAGTTCCGAGATCTGTTAAACAAATTAGAAGATTTTTAGGGATGACAGGTTGGTATAGAAAGTTTATCAAAAACTACGCTTCTATTACCACACCATTAACTGATCTTTTAAAGAAAAAGAAAAGATTTGTATGGTCTGAAGAGGCCCAAAAGGCCTTTGAAATTTTGAAATCGCATTTGAGCTCAGCCCCTGTTTTACACAGCCCGGATTTCTCGCAGCCGTTCTTTATACACTGCGATGCCAGTAAAACAGGAATAGGAAGTGTGTTGGTCCAGAAGAATACGGAGGGTGAAGAGATTCCTGTGGCATTTATGTCCAAGAAACTCAACCAAGCCCAACGTAATTATTCAGTGACCGAACAAGAATGCTTAGCTGCTGTGCTTAGTATAAAAAAATTCAGGCCTTTTGTCGAAGGACATGAGTTCACTGTTATAACTGACCATGCGTCGTTAAAGTGGCTCATGTCTCAGACTGATCTGAGTTCAAGGCTAGCTCGATGGGCTTTAAAATTGCAAGGGTATAGATTCAAAATAGAGCATAGACGTGGTAATTTAAACGTGGTTCCTGACACACTTTCTAGGGCCAACACGGACGATTTGTCAGCTTTAGGGTTGGACAGATTGTACAATTCAGACAGTGACTCAGGGATTTTCGTAGATTTAAACTCTACCCATTTTCACTCTGACGAACACAAAGAATTTTTGGACAAAGTGAGCAAGAATATCGACAAAATGCCTGACTTGAAAATAATCGACGGATATTTATACAGACGGACTGAACATGCTTCAGGGGAAAAGGTTCAGGATGATTTAGCTTGGAAATTATGGATCCCAAGGCCAATGATTCCAGAAATTCTAAGCAAAGCTCATAATAGTACTTTGTCAGCACACAGTGGAATTAATAAGACATTGGAAAGAATAAGAAGGTTTTACTTTTGGCCAAATCTTGTTATAGATGTTAAAAATTATATTAATAATTGCGAGGTTTGCAAAATGACCAAACATCCGAATCAAATTTTAAAACCACCGATGGGAAAAATTGCTGAGACAAAACGGTTCTTTCAAAAGCTCTACGTGGACTTCTTGGGACCATATCCCAGATCTCGCTCAGGAAACATTGGGATCTTTATAGTTCTTGACCATTATTCAAAGTTTCCTTTTCTTAAGGCTGTAAAAAAATTTACTGCGGATATAATTGTTAAGTATTTAGAACAGGAATTATTTCATACATTTGGAGTTCCTGAAACAATTGTATCTGATAATGGCTCCCAATTCAAGTCCCACGAATTTAATAGGCTTCTTCAACGATATGGGATAACACACATCTATACAGCTATTCATGCCCCTCAAGCCAATGCTTCAGAGCGTGTGAATCGATCGGTGTTGTCGGCTATAAAAGCATATATTAGGCCAGATCAGAAAAACTGGGATGAACTTCTTAGCAATATTTGTTGCGCGCTTCGGTCTGCTAATCATTCTGCCATTGGTACATCACCATACTACCTGACTTTTGGTCAACATATGGTGACAAATGGAACCACATACGCACTTTTGCGTCAGCTCGAAATGTTGGATGATCGTTCTGTTCGTTTTGATCGAAATGATTCTCTTCAAATAATGGCTAAGCGTGCTTCTGAATTAATTCAAAAACAATTCGTTCGCAACGAAAAATCTTATAACCTACGAGCCAAAACTATAACCTATAATGAGGGACAAGAAGTTTATAGACGTAACTTTAAGCAAAGTAACTTTGAGAAGAATTATAATGCTAAACTTGCACCCAATTTTGTCAAAGCTCGTGTAAGGAAGAAACTAGGAAACAGTTATTATGAACTGGAGGATCTGCAAGGAAATCTTCTTGGAAATTACCACGCAAAGGATATTCGCCAGTGATTTATTTCGTTCATTACTTCGTCAGGTGGAATCATGTTTGGTAAATTTAATTCTTAAATCCCCAAAGCCTGATTTTGTGGGGGGGTTTTGTAGTATTTCCTGTCTCAGTTCTAACCTTCTGTTTCAAATTTTGTAATAGTTTTAACGGTTATAGGCGCCATCTATGCATTGAAAATATTCACCACCCAAATATGTTTTTTTTTATGTATCATTTATTATTTATACCTCCTCATTTGTTTATAAAAATGTATGTTAATTTTATGGAAATATAGCGTTAACATTACTGTTTTAAAGAAAAAAAAGAAGTCTAATAGTTAGGTAAATTTCAAAACGCCATTACTTTGTGATCGTAGCCCGATGAGAAAACTCCATAAGATTTTTGGTAAAGTGCAACTTATATCATATATTTTTTTTGTGTCTTCTTTGAAAGCAAAAATTGAACCCATTACAACTAAATAAAAATTGTAAGTGTTGCTTGTGGGAAATATAATAAGTTTGTTTTCAACAAAGTACTTTCTACCTTAATTAGGATTGTTCTTTACTTGAATCAGAAAGATATTGTTCTTAATCTTTTCTGAATCAGTTTTGGTTTTCTTTGGGTGAATAGCAGCATCAACATTCGTTTTGGATTGAGCTTGGATTTTGATTTAATCACCTAATTTATATTGTTGTTGTATATTTGGTGATATTACACTCTCTGTAAGCTGACCAAACTAGGTAATATCAAAGTAAGAATTCACCAAATTCAGTTACTATATTGTTCTTTTATTTTTCTCAACATAAACTAGGTTTGGCAGCTAGTGCTAGAGAGGAACGAAGAGAAGGGAAAAACAATAACCCCCAATTTGATTTTGTGCTCTTCTTAGCTAGATTTGGGGACAAAAATCGTATACCTGCTTTAGAGAGTTATTTAATCATTGCATTTAGTTGATGGTGGAATTTAATTCGTGATAGAGTGATTGCTGAAACAAAGAAAGCTGTCGGTGTAGTGATAGGAAAGTGTTAAAGTGTGCAAAATAAGTGCAAATAGCTAAATATTTAAAATCAAAAATATAAAAATTAAAACGAAATTTAACTAAAAGAAAAATATTGCTTTAGAAAAAAAATTTATATATATATTACACAAACAAAATACACTAGCCTACATAGTGAAACGGAAAATTATTCTCGACATACAATAAATTTACATCAATATCCTGATAATGTCATCTAATTAGTGCTAAACGTTAGTTCGTTCACTTACAAAAAAAAAAAAAAAAGTAATAATAATAATAAAAATAACTTAATTCTGAAAGGTGAAAGAAAACTTATAAAAAAAAAACTATATTAATTAAGTAAAATTTTGTTCATTATTGTTAAGTTGAAAATTTGTTGTCTAGTGTTACTTAATTTTGTTTAAAAACCCAGTTATTTGCTTTCTTTAATTATTTCAAAAACAACTACGTATTATATTCAAACCGCTAAACATATTTACGTATGTATGTATGTTTATGTGAATCTACCTGCTCACTCAAATTTAACAAGTGGAATTTAACATTTTTGTATAAGAACACGCAAAGTTTTAACAGAGTAATGTTAACAGTGCTGAAGTTTAAAAAAAAACTCTTTAATTTTGAATATAATATGTAACTTGTTTAATCAAAGAAAATTAGTATGTAAAAAAAAAAAAATCCGATAGGTGTTAATTTTTTTTTTATTTACAAAATAATTAATGATATATTTAACGTGCTTCATCGGTTAAAAAAAAAAAAATAATAATTAAAACAAAAGAAAAAATTTATTTTAATATAATTTGGGTAAAAGAAATTAAAGAGATAAAACCGTACTCTCTTTAATCCTAATCGATCACTCTCTCTCAACAACACCAAAATTTTAAACAGCACTCATCGAAAGTACTTTCGGCGTGGGAGCAACAACAACATAATGTAAGTGAGATTTAATTTCTTTTGTTTATATTTTTATATTCTTTATTTACCTTTTTTTTTACAATCGATTCGAATATTTTTTTTTGTTTTTGTTCTTTTTTTTTAAATTTTGCATATGCGGTCAATGACTTCGCGAAATTTTTGTTAACCAATGAAGCACCTGCATTTTGTTTATTTAAACTAATTTTGTTTTCTTTCATTTAAACCAATTACAATATACATATATTTTTTTATATTAGATAGGGTTTTTTTTTATTCATAATGTAGAGCTAACTAAATTAAACAAAATGTTACATTTTTTTTTTATTTATATGTACATGAATTTTTAGAAGAAATACAATAATGAATAAATTCAGTGAATAAAACTAATCATGACTGTTTGATTTTGATGATCTAGTGGTAAATCTTGGTTGTGTGTACATTAGGGATCATATTATCTGTTTTGTATTTTAAGGATTTCTTAAATATGATCAAGGTTGGGTGGGCAACATATGGTACAAACAACAACATCTTGTTTTACCAATCTGTTTCTTGTGGAACAACATTTATGAGTCTCTTCTATTTTTCTTTCCTTATTGCACGCAGATTAGATAAGTTTATATGTAGCAAAAAAAAAAAAAAATTCCAAAGACACAATAAAGCAACCGAACCCCCCCTCCGACGAGTAAATAAGCCGGTTTACAAGCGTGCATTTGCTATAATTGTATCACCTCAACATCTGTTTATATAAAATCAATTTTTATAATTCGTAGTATGCTACAAGTCTCCGTGGATGCGAAATTCTTCAAAAGTATTATGTTTTATGTAAAACTAGAATTCATAGGCTTTCCATGGATACCAATATCATTAAAATCGCTTTAGCCGTTATGAAGCTAGAAGAACTTAAATATTTTGAATATGCGATTTCAACCTACTACTTCATTCTATGTTCCTAATAACAAAAATGTTTTGAAATTTTTACAAGTCCTATTTTTATTTATTTCCCAAGTTCTCAAATTATTTGTACACATCTTGGCAGCAAAACAATCAGCTTTAAATGATCATAACTTTAAGTCTGTTCCACGGATTGCAATGATATTGGTATCCATTTAAAGCGCAAGAGCTGGGGAATGTAATAATACTAGTCTAATTCCAAAATATGACAAAGTTTTAAAGTTATAATTAAACGAATTGCAAAATACCTTATAATTTTAAAGTTTTTCAATACTTTTTAAGCTGAAGTCTCCGTGGATGCGAAATTCTTCAAAAGTATTATGTTTTATGTAAAACTAGAATTCATAGGCTTTCCATGGATACCAATATCATTAAAATCGCTTTAGCCGTTATGAAGCCAGAAGAACTTAAATATTTTGAATATGCGATTTCAACCTACTACTTCATTCTGTGCTCCTGGTACCAAAAAAGGGTTTCGACGAAATTTTTCTAAGTCCTATTTTTATTTATTTCCTAAGTTCTCAAATTATTTGTACACATCTTGGCAGCAAAACAATCAGCTTTAAATGATCATAACTTTGAGTCTGTTCCACGGATTGCAATGATATTGGTATCCATTTAAAGCGCAAGAGCTGGGGAATGATACTAGCCTAATTCCAAAATATGACAAAGTTTTAAAGTTATAATCAAACGAATTGCAAACTACCTTATAATTTTAAAGTTTTTCAATACTTTTTAAGCTGAAGTCTCCGTGGATGCGAAATTCTTAAAAAGTATTATGTTTTATATAAAACTAGAATTCATAGGCTTTCCATGGATACCAATATCATTAAAATCGCTTTAGCCGTTATGAAGCTAGAAGAACTTAAATATTTTGAATATGCGATTTTAACCTACTACTTCATTCTATGTTCCTAATAACAAAAATGTTTTGAAATTTTTACAAGTCCTATTTTTATTTATTTCCCAAGTTCTCAAATTATTTGTACACATCTTGGCAGCAAAACAATCAGCTTTAAATGATCATAACTTTAAGTCTGTTCCACGGATTGCAATGATATTGGTATCCATTTAAAGCGCAAGAGCTGGGGAATGTAATAATACTAGTCTAATTCCAAAATATGACAAAGTTTTAAAGTTATAATTAAACGAATTGCAAAATACCTTATAATTTTAAAGTTTTTCAATACTTTTTAAGCTGAAGTCTCCGTGGATGCGAAATTCTTCAAAAGTATTATGTTTTATGTAAAACTAGAATTCATAGGCTTTCCATGGATACCAATATCATTAAAATCGCTTTAGCCGTTATGAAGCCAGAAGAACTTAAATATTTTGAATATGCGATTTCAACCTACTACTTCATTCTGTGCTCCTGGTACCAAAAAAGGGTTTCGACGAAATTTTTCTAAGTCCTATTTTTATTTATTTCCCAAGTTCTCAAATTATTTGTACACATCTTGGCAGCAAAACAATCAGCTTTAAATGATCATAACTTTAAGTCTGTTCCACGGATTGCAATGATATTGGTATCCATTTAAAGCGCAAGAGCTGGGGAATGTAATGATACTAGTCTAATTCCAAAATATGACAAAGTTTTAAAGTTATAATCAAACGAATTGCAAAATACCTTATAATTTTAAAGTTTTTCAATACTTTTTAAGCTGAAGTCTCCGTGGATGCGAAATTCTTAAAAAGTATTATGTTTTATATAAAACTAGAATTCACAGGCTTTCCATGGATACCAATATCATTAAAATCGCTTTAGCCGTTATGAAGCTAGAAGAACTTAAATATTTTGAATATGCGATTTCAACCTACTACTTCATTCTGTGCTCCTGGTACCAAAAAAGGGTTTCGACGAAATTTTTCTAAGTCCTATTTTTATTTATTTCCCAAGTTCTCAAATTATTTGTACACATCTTGGCAGCAAAACAATCAGCTTTAAATGATCATAACTTTAAGTCTGTTCCACGGATTGCAATGATATTGGTATCCATTTAAAGCGCAAGAGCTAGGGAATTTAATGATACTAGTCTAATTCCAAAATATGACAAAGTTTTAAAGTTATAATCAAACGAATTGCAAAATACCTTATAATTTTAAAGTTTTTCAATACTTTTTAAGCTGAAGTCCCCGTGGATG